TGTGGGGGGATATAATACAATGCAAACCTGATCAGCAGTGTTCTGGGTTAGTTCAGCGGTTTGTTTTAAATGTGCCAACACCCATAAACCTGTTTCGATGACTTTCTTGTGAAAAACAGTGAGCATCCTTTCTCTAATCTGCATCTTTCTGCAGCTTTGTCACACATGCACACCAGTCTTGCAAAAGCATTGTTCAATCCTTAAACTATAGAACATCCCCATTAACGTATTTGTTCTGTTTCCTTTTGAGTATAATTGTACTGGTGTGTGTTTTTTTCTGTTATTAAAAAAACACATATACAAAGGTAACTCGTTTTTTTCTGTTGTGGTTCACCACAGGGTGTAGCCTCTTTAGTTCAACTAAGTAAAAGCATGCTGCAAACCTCTTTAGGGTTTTATTTCCCTGTGTGACGCCATGCAGGAAGCTACTAAACACTGCCCCTCTTTGCTTGTGCTACTTTGACTAGCATGTGTTGATAATAGCAGCCCTTGTCTCATGCGCTGTAATCAAATTGGGTGATTTGACTGCCTTTTCATTCATGCATGAACATTTATATAAGAGGGTTTAAAAGTAATTCCGAGCAGAGTATAAATACAATAAATGGGTCACCCCTTAGCTGTATAAACATCCAGCTTGCACCTGCATGTTATTTTTTAATTCTTACGCTTCATGTCCGCATGCAGCCTTTTTTTTCTGCATCAAATGGCCAGCAGAGGTTACACATGCGACAAGGACCATGATTATTATTTATGAGCTGATAGTCAAACATGCCAAGGTCTGGTTTTTAATTGGTCAGTATCAACCCACAGTGTTTCATACTGTTTTCACCTTCAGTCAAGAGAGCAAAAAGCTCCTCTTTAAAATTCAAATTCATGTTGCATTTGAGCTTTTAATTTTCTTGACTGACTGGCCCAACTAAACTTTTATCCATTTGTTTCTACTTTAATGTCTCACCCTCTTTGCACTATTTCAATTGCTTTTATTATCTATTTATCCATGGTGTTTTTACATTTCTTATGTACTGTGTACAGCGCCTTGGGCTCGCTGACAGGGTTGCAGAAGGCGCTTTATAAATAAAGCTTTGAACTGAATTGAATTAAACTTGCTGAGTCTGTTAACTGCATCCTCTAACAATCAACTGTACGTTATACATCTGCTGGACTGAATAAAATTAAAAGCAATGTGATGAAAATGAGTGATTATGAAATAAGACAGTATGACTTGCTTTATCTATGATGACGAGAGAATTCTTGCTCGAAGCAGATTGAACAAAGGAAGGACTGTTAGATAGATGGAGCAACTCCTGATTAGTGATTGGATATTTTTAGCAGGGACTGTGCAGTCAGTTACCCTAGCAACACAAACCTTCAATCAAGAAAGAAAACAAAGTGGAAACAACTATCTTGTACAAAAGTGATAAAAGACGATATGGCGTTCACTCAAACTGACATGAAAGCCCAAAGCATTAATAATTAGTTTATATATGGGTGTTTCTGTCTAATTGTGTTTCATACTTGTAGGTGATTGAGGTAAATAAAATGTAGGCATTTAGTGCTCTAATTTGTTATTATTAACGACTTCCTTGGCTGTGCTCTATAAAACCTCACAGGGAGTTTTTTTCTAACCACTGATAGCTGCACTATTTAGCCACTCCATCAAAGTCACGTTTTCACACTTTTGTTGTTTTTTTCTGAATGAAATCTTCAAAATGAAAATGTCATCTTTTTCTTGCTAAATATAAAGCTTCACTTACCTCTAAAAATGGTTAGAAAAACAAATTGCTGGTGCAAAAAGTGCCCAACACTTGTGCATAAGTCATCTTTTTTTTAAGTAACTAGTTTGCATCCACCAGTGATGATCCGTATCTCCAAAGTAACATATTATTTATGGAGTCTAATAAATTAGGAGAATAATTTGTCCAGAAATGTTTGTTACTTTCTCTTCTTGACCAGGGCCCTTAATGAGACATATAGGCTAATTAGATTTAGAGCTGTGCTAAAAGCGCTAGAGCTAATCTCAACACGTTGCCTGACAGCGGAGTCACGGCAGTTAAGTGTTGTTCTCAGTAAGGAGGCTGCTCGACTCTTCTTAAGGACAACATCTCTGAGAGTTGGGCTGCAGGGTTTTGGGAGCATTCCAGACCAGAGCTGGCTATTCTTGGGAATGTGACTGTAGTGGCCTCAGAAGTGTGGTCCAATAGGATTGAGTGTGGGCTGATGATGCATTGATGATGCACCTTTTACCTGAATGGATCTTAAATCCTGTCTAAATATTCCTCCCACTGGCCAGGTCGGCACCTTGTCTCTTCTTTCATCTATCTGCTTTGGCCCAGAACCTTAGTAAACACAAAAAAGACTGCTCAGCTTTTCCAAACCACCACGGTCCACTTGTGTCTGCTTTAGAAACACAACTGTCTGAGCTTCCATGAAAGTCAAACCTTTATGATGAGTTGATTTTTAACTGGAAAAGAACTTTTCTTATATTAGAGTTTTGCTAATGTTTATGCCATTTCTAAACATGTATGTATAAATCCATGAAGTTGTCATGAGCCGGGGTGAGTACTCCTTTTCTCTTAACCATCTGTGAGTCCCTTGCCAGGAGAGGGAGTGGCCCAGCTGTTCCTGATCAGCAATCAGCAGGGTGTTTCCTATTTAAGGTGGATGGAGGACACTTTTCGACGCTGGAAGATTGCCTCAGTTTTGGTAGTAGCCAGCCACTCGAGTTACCACTAGTATTTCTTGGATTAATGGTATTCGTAGTGTTTTGCTCTTAGTATTTTTGGATGTTGACCTTTCTTGCTTCGCCTGGAGCTGATTTGGATTTTTTACCCTTCAGGATTCCTGTCGGCCTCTTTGGATTCTTACCTCTACTCCAGGTTTTGGGTATTCAGCACGCGGACCATATCACCAACCTCCATAACCCACCTCTCATCTCAACCCAGTGCCCCATCCACCAGGATGCCCCGCTTCTCTCCACCTGTGCTCCCTCTCCTGCGCTTCCCCCGGCTCACTACCTCTCCCTCCTCCAGCCAACATATGCACGCCCCACAGTAAGTCCTGCTGAACACCTCTGCCTACAATGGACTTCTGAATCTGAACCTATGCTCACCTGTGTTCTCCCTCCTCCAGACGCCGAGCCGTCGTAGCGGTTCTCCAATCAGACTTATCTGTGCATCCTAAGTTCCTCCTTTATATATAAATCATTTTACTATCTGTTTTTGGTCTGTGTTGCATTCTGCATGTCTTGGGTTAGATACCTTCCTCCAAACATGACTAAAGTTTGCATTTAGTTGCATAAATTATGAATTGAGCTGCATCTTTTGAAATTATCTTTTGATTTACCTTTCAAAGGGCCAAAAAACGGAATTTTATCTTCCAGATGTGAGTAAAAGTTAGTGATCCACAGATCAATGGGTGCATTCAATGTTGGACATTGGATGGGAATGGAAAACCACCTGGAATCAAGCCATGCTACTGAGCTACAGTATTTCCTGTGGCGGTAATCCCTGGATTTTACGAGACCGTGAGGGTTATGGAGATGAAAACATGAAGCTGCTTTGTTTCTCTTTTGCATATCAGGTCTGTTTAATAAGATCTGGAAGGTGAGGCAGCTGGACCTCCGCTGTAAAATTAGGAAAACATGCAAAAGCAGAATGGCCCTGTGAAGCAAATCTGTCCATGTATGTAATTTATTGCATTACATTAATTTGCTAAATGATTTACTCTAGATGTTGACCATTTACAGTGTAGCTACTTTTATGGCATTAACAGTTCAGAGTTGTTGGTCAGTAAAGTCAGATCATAAAGTTGTATCACTGAAACTAAAGCTGGATTTTATTAGCCAGTAATTGATGACATTTTTTGCACAGATACCAGCAAACCAATATTTCACACATAAAATTACTCAACAAGAATGTTGTTGCATTGATTTTGACTGTGACACTAATAAGAAATGTGTTTGTAAAATTGACAGTTATGGTGGTTTTTGTTAGGCAATTCAGTTGCCTGTGGCAAAAACAACCAGTTGTACTTTCAAAAAATACTTTTAAAGAGTTTTATTAAAATCTTTCAAGAAGTTCTTAAGATTTTTCACCAACAGCTAGACAAGGTGTGTCCAACAGGTTTATAATGTTTTAAACAAATGTATTGTGTGATGAATAGCAATTAGAGCAGGGATGTCCATCCATCCATTTTCAGCCGTTTATCTGGAGTCGGGTCAGGGGGGCAGCAGCCTAAGCAGAGGCCCAGACTTCCCTCTCCCCATCCACTTGGGCCAGCTCCTCCGAGGAAATCCCAAGGCGTTCCCTGGCCAGCCGAGAAGCATAGTCCCTCCATTGTGTCCTAGGTCTTCCTTTTAGTCTCCTCCCGGTTGATTGTGCCTGGAAAACCTCACCAGGGAGGCATCCTGTGCAGATGCCCGAGGCACCCAACTGGCTCCTCTCAATGTGGAGGAGCAGAGGGTCTACTCCGAGCCCCTCCCAGATGACCGAGCTTCTCACCCTATTTTTAAGGGAGAGCCCAAACAGCCTGCGCAGAAAACTCATTTCAGCCACTTGTATCGCGATCTTTTTTTTTTTTTTTTTTGATTGCTACACAATGCTTGTGACCATAGATGAGGGCTGGAACGTTGATCAAATGATAAATCGAAAGCTTTGCCTTCCAGCTCAGCTCTCTCTTCACCTCGACACCTAGATGCAGAACCTATTGATCTCATGCTCCATCTTTCCCTCACTCGTAAACAAGAAATCTGGAGATCACTAACTTAAGAAGCCAACAGGACCACATCATCTGCAGAAAGCAGGGATGTCCAAACTTTTAAAAATTATGGCCAAAATCATCAAGTTGATGAGCCTTGGAAAATGTCCTTCTCAGTGTGTTTGAAGATCAAAAACAGAAATAAATGTGACACACTCATCTTCTTCCTGTACTCTGCCCCGCCCACTGTTCGGCACGAATTACCCTCCATGTGGGCGGGGTCGTGCGAAGCCACGCCTGTCCCAGTCCCTGCAGCTGCCGCTTCGAGACCGAAGCAGAATCGGTTCACTATTGGAAGCAGCCAGCAGCCGCAGCAGTGGTTGCACCGGAGAATGATCGCTGTCCGGAGGACATAGATGTACAGCCCCCCCTGGAATATCCGTGCGCTGGAGAGGCCGGAGCCGAGCACCGTGGAGGACTGCCTTTATTTAGCCACCGACAGGGGAGAAAGAGCCACGGAGACACCATGGCGGTAGAAGAAGAAGGTCTTCGGGTGTTTCAGAGCGTTAAAATAAAAATAGGTGAGGAAAAGAAATCCCTACCCCCAGCCTGTCCGAGCGCCCGAATGGATGGCTCCACATTTACAGGGGGAGTAGACAGGCTGTGGGGGCTAGAAGACAGATCTCAGATCTGTGTTGTTTTGTCTCTTTTGGTCATTCTGATCACACGCTTCTCTCTCCGCACGGATTAGGACCAGAAACAGGAAAAGCTGAATAAAGAAAGATTCAGACGTGTGGGAGAACGTGGGAACGTGGCAGCTGGCATTTGGATTCAGATCATGTGTGTTAAACTTGAACCGGTGTTTGTGTGTGAGTCATAAAAGGCTTCACAGCTGCACAGATCCAGATGTACATTTCTGATCACATACACCGTTATTACAGTCATTCACACATCCCTCCTTCAGCCTGCACTCCTTCCTTTAATATGCATGGCTGTGCACATTGATTGTAAACCCAGATGTCTATTTTTAGAAGTAGCTGGTTTCCAGTGGGCACCCCTGGTTTGTAAGAGGCATGCAAATCCTGTGAATGGAGCAATGGAGGGATTGAGTTCAGTGTGATTGTTTAGTTAGTGTTTACATATATATATATATATAATTACATGGTTGTTATTAAGCTTGTTCTTTAAATTCAGCTGACTGTTCCTGAAATAAAGTTTAGTCAAGTGCAGATGATTTATTTGAAATATTTATCTTTTGAACACCAGCCCTTTGAAAGCAGACGATAATTTCCTGTTTGCTGTAATATTATCTCATGCTGGCATCTGACAACCAGTTCATCCTGTCCAGTTTTGACTCCAAACACGCGAAGAAGGGATGAGCTGTACAAAGAAAAGAAAGGAAACAGACAACAAACACTCACTCTTGTTTGAGGCAACGCAAACCAGCATTGGACAGTATCACTTCCTCTTTTTCTATCAGGGCTGATATTTTGATATTTTAAAGTTAATCTCTGCAGAGTCTCCAGGAAGCAAGCAGCCTCTCTGAGAGTTTATGAAGTAATCCTGCTTCATTGAGGATAACATGCTTTAGGGATGGTTGGAAAACTGAAAGCTCTGGGGAGTTTTCTGGTTTTTGTGAATGAATGTTCAGTCAGGCTGCAGATTCTTCTTTCTCTCATCTTTTTGAATGAAACCTGATGGACTTGGGGCCTTCGTTGCCAGCCTAGACATCCTAGTGATCAAATCTGCTTCAGAGCGAGGAAGGATTGTAGAATATTTCATCTGATGTTGTTGAATCATAACAAAAGGATTACAGCTATTGAGGATTATTTGATGACGTAACAAGGGTATCTACTACAATGGTTTGATTGACAGAAAATAGTCAACATCCTCTCTGAACAGAGGCTAAGTCAGGCTGAATGGTGATGTGGAGGTTAGGGCTGCTGCCTTGCAGTAAGATGGATGCAGGTTCAAGTCTTTGTCTTTATAATGTGACGTCTGTATGTTCCTTTTGTACGAGCATGTTGGGTTAATTGACTTCTGGGTTATGGCACTAGGTCCCTTTGTCCCTGAGCAGTGTAACAACCTTCAGGAAAAAGTCCAATACAGCCGTTATAAGCTCTTAAATGTTATACCTAGGAAAAAGTGGTAAAAAACTTAAAATTTCAACTTTCTAGTTTTTAGTATCTCTCTTGGATCATTGATTTCACAACAAACTTGAATAAAATTCCAGCACTTCTTAATAATATAAAGAAAACAAAAAAACACAGATCTACACATTTACAGAAATTTCCCAATGTTCTCTAAGTCTGTTATGACAGCTGATGTTCACAAGACATTTTTGTCACTTCCACAACCTCATTCACCTTGTTTTGTAAATTTCAGTGATGACAGTAGAGTTTATACTTTGCTGTTACCAAGCAGCAGTCATAACCACTGTTGGTCGGATCCCCACGGCGCTCTGCTCCCAGCAATGTCTACGAAACGATTGCATCACATTGTTTTCATTAGCCTCATCCTTTGGCATAAAGCTGTGGCTGGCTGAACACTCGGAACTGAAAATCTGTTGCACATCCAGGGACAAGAAAAAGAAAGAGGGCTTATTGTTTTGCCTTCCAGGTGATGACTCCTCTCAGTTTCCTGGAGGAACAAATGAATGTCGGAAATTGAACAGAGCTACCGGGCCCCGGGTTCGACCCGTCTGGGGAACTCAGGAAATAGGAAACTACCCCCGATTCACTTCCTGATTGGCTGGAACAGACTACAAAAGAACTGTGTTTTTCCCTGCATGGCAACAAGCTAATACAAAGCAGATGTAGTGGGATGCAGATCAGGGGACAGAGGTGGTGTCTCTCATTCAAGAGCAGACTGTGCTTCATCTGTCAGCGACTCCGTGATCGGAGAGACGGGAATTCTCAGTGGGTCAGCTGGAGTCAGGACTAATTAACAACAACATATGTGCTTTTGGCCCCTCCACTGCTGCAGCAAACATCATCTGACAAACTCTGAAACATTCGTCAAACATCACAGTACACATTAGAGCATCCCTCCAAGAAGATGTGTAGGAGAAATAAAAATCTTTAACTCAACCATCTACAAGACAGTAGATTTAAGTACCAAATGTTTCAGACGAATTACAGTTAATTATTTTATTGCTTGTGTTCGATGGTGATATAAATCACAATACGGGGAGACAAATGATATATTGAGATACCAAAAGCCAGATGAAACTAGTAGGACACTTCCAAGACACATCCAGTGTTAAGGTTAGTTTGTACTTCTCTGTGTCAGAAAGGGAAAAATCAACACCATTATTTGTCGTAGCGAGGGCTCTTCAGCAGACTCGTAAGGACGGATGGAGTAGAGCGCACTTTTCTAATTGTCCAAAAGCGACAGAGACCGTAAAGCCTGTGATTGGTCAGGATGCCACTTCCTTAACTTTGACAACAACACCGCCATTCCACCTCAAAAAATTACATGAGAACCAAAGATATCTAGCGACAGACACAGCAGATTGAACAATGTCTCCATATAAACGTTAATACACCCGTGACTGAACCAGTACAAAGATACGCATCAAAAATTTTATTCGTGTCAGGAAATTACGGGAAATGTGAATTTAGAGGTGGTGACTGCATGGAGAAGAAGAGGACAAATTTTTCCATGGAAAAAAGTCTCTGAAATACATACACACAAGAGATGTGACTGCATTGATGGCAGAATACTCCAGGAAATGCTATGCCCTCTGATGTCCTGGTGGAGAATTGATTTACAACACTGACACGGCGACGAACTCACACGTATTGTCGTCTCCGTCAATGCGTGTGCGTGTGAGTGCAAACTTACTGACGGAAAAGTATAAACTAGGTTTTATTGCTTGCTGTTCCATCAGAGTAAAGGTGGTGAAAACTGTTGCCGCCTAGCAGCCGAACGTTGAATTGCACTACACAAAAGAAATAAGTAAATATTTGCTTGTAAGTTCTCAATAAAAGTTGAAAATGCATTGTTTTTAAATATGGATTCAGCATCATAACACAAAATATTGTGATAGTTTAGTGTACCAATACTTACATCCCTAGTTTCATGCACAAGAACGCAGTTAAAATATCTAATAAGACTCATTTTAAGGATGCACAAAACGGCAGAGGAATAACTTCATCTATAAATGGTGCTAAACTAAAATCAGGCCATTTACTATAAATTAAGTAAAGAAAAAGTCATTTATACATATCAGCCATATCATATCATGCTATTTTAAATATCTGAGAGCAAAGGTTGGTACAATATGTGATAAAATATTATCATGGGCACCAGCTGAGTACACCTTGTGGAGTTTTTTTTTTTTTTTACTTATGGAGAACTGGAAAATGAAGAAATGTGGCATCAGAGCTATGTAAACACTCTCCAGCAGGTTAAAACAGCACAGTAAAGAATCACCTCAGTGTGATGTTTTAACATAGGATTACATGAACCAAGTGAATATTTTTTATTATAAAATGGATTATTATGACCACCAGCAAAGGTAAGACTGAATTTACACTTTTGACTTTGTGAAATTAACTTTGTTTTGCTGACGCGCTGCTCTGTTAGTTTTGCAGGTAGAGTAATGTTACTTATAATGTTGTAAAGAGGAGAGTCTGGGCTTTAATTTAGACGACTGCTTCTGTGGATAGGATCATTTTGCATTGTCACCACTGTGTGTTTTTCTCGATATGTGTATTTAGCTTATTTTTCTGCCCTTTCATTTGGCGGCTAATTGTCATTAGGTGTTGTTGAGGCAGAAAACGTGAATTCTCTTGTTTAGATGATCCTCTTTCTGTTAAGTATGTGTGCAGTTTGCATATATTGGTGAATATTAAGCATGTTTTTGGAACAACTCTGTTGCTGGAAGTGCTCATGGACTTGGTACTGGCCCGTTGGGTTCAAGTTGTGTGACGCATAAGGTGGTTATTTTGCATCCCCTAGTGGTTAAGCACATCTGAAAACAGATGGCAGAAATGCACCCCACCTAAAAAAAAAAGCTACTTGCCAGCCTGACACTCTAACCACTGGACTACCAAGTCTGTTACAAAACGACTGTCGCCTAACTACTAATCCTGTGCTGGCCATTACATGCGTCTTTGTAGATATGATGCATGGCTTTTACAGTGTTGTTTTGTCCCCGATGCAAAAATATTTTGTCAGAATATATACAAAATATTCAGGTTTCACCACCAACTTCAGGGAGAGGAGAAATGCCTGATGACGTGAGTAGTTTTCATTCAGGCATTTTCACAATTTTTTAAGTAAAACTCTAAATTTATAGCTGGCTCATGAAAATGTATAAATGCAGCCAAAAACCAGGTTGGGAGTTCTTTTCATGAGGAAATAACAATATCACACGGTAAAAAGCTCAAAAAGTGGATTTTCCATGATATGGCCCCTTTAACAGATAGAAAATGTAAGAATATTTATTCTTTTGCTTCTTAGGCTATAGATGTGTTTATTACCAAGCCACTTATATTTGTGACATTAAAACTGAAAATATTTTGCCTCCAACTTTGAAATAGATCCACATTCCCTTTTATAACCCAATGAAGTG